TCGAAAGTGTAAACCCTTTCTAGCATGGGGCTCCTGTAGTGACCTACTTTTATCACGAGAATGCGATTAGTTTAATGAAAACAATTATTATTATTATTATTATTATTATTATTATTATTATTATTATTATTATTATTATTATTATAACCAACTGTACCAATGATTGTTTTACTGTGCTCGTTTGTTTAACTGTGCTAAAGACAGCCATATTGCTCTTCCGTTATTCTTCACTATAGTGGTGGCTCACCAGTTGTAGATTGATTTCGAGTCCCAGTTGAATATGAACACTACTACAAATAAACACGTGTTAAATCAATCAGAAGGCGAATGCGGGTTGTAAACCAAGTTTGTTTCGTTGACGATCTCGTGGTATCGAACGAATACCGAGATCGTGCCAAGAAAAGTTACAAGCGCAATCGGCATGAGAAAGTACGTGCGAACGGGGTGACGAACCGCGAAACAATAGTGGAGAATAACGGAAGAGCAATATGGCTGTCTTTAGCACAGTTAAACAAACGAGCACAGTAAAACAATCGTTGGTACAGTTGGTTATAATAATAATAATAATAATAATAATAATAATAATAATAATTGTTTTCATTAAACTAATCGCATTCTCGTGATAAAAGTAGGTCACTACAGGAGCCCCATGCTAGAAAGGGTTTACACTTTCGATAAGTAGCGGTTTTATTTGCGGGACTGATCGGCAAATGTGCAATTGTAGGACAAGAGGATTGGCGGAACAGGAAGCGTTCGTTGATCCTCGAGTTGCCAACGAAGGTCTTTTACGGGGAACGGTACCGGGAGAAGTGTGCTGTATTTGTTGCTCGAGCTAGCATACCACACCAGAGTGGTTTGTATCCAGGATCTGAAGATTGTGTTCGTAGGGAATCGGACCAGAAAACGCTGCAGACGTAGGACGAAACCACGTTGAGCCGAGGAACCAGAAACGACCATAGCAACCAGGTTCGAGACCATATGTATGCCAAACATTCGAAACCAATTTATCAACTGAGTGCGTTGACAAGAGCGTGGGTGATCAGGCCAGCTTTCGCCAAGGTTGACTGAAGTCGATGATACCAAACGGGCGATGGTCGGCGGCGTAGGCTCAGGATACAAAAAAATCAAAGAAAAAGAGAAAAGTGTAGCATGTATGTAGTATAGGAATAATCCTACACCGTATCCGTTATTGACTGTGCAGTTAGTCGCGAAAGCGTACAGGTAAGCGTACTCGGCGACCAGAACGTGAGACGGTAGTCTCGTTCGTAGATGGCGCAGATGACACGTGCTGTTGACCGGGACGTGAGAATGAGGTCTCTAATGTATCTAGCGTGGGACCTGAAGTAGATGTAAGGATCCCGCTAGTAGGTTTGATAGGTCTAGCATTGAGTTTCAAGTTATCTGGTAGGGCACTGTCACCGACATGTGCTGGTTTGAGACGATCAATGCTGACGATCTCGACGCGGCCGTGTCGATCAACCTTGAAGGTCTTTTCGTAACGAGAGATCACGTGAAAAGGTCCTTCGTAAGGCTGTTGCAATGGTTTGCGTACCGAATCTACTCGTATGAAAACATGTGAACAGGTAGATAACTCGAGGGCGAGCGACCTGTCGATGTTGTATACGAGTTGACACCGGAGACAGTGTTCGCATAAATGCAGACAGTTGGTGGACGTAGTCTGATTTACCGAAATCGTTACTGCTCCGTGGTGTGAAGAATTCCCCAGGCAGACGCAATGTCGTGCCGTATACCAGTTCAGCGGCGGGACATTGGATATCTGCCTTCAAGCTCGTTCTGATGCCTAAGAGGACGAGAGGTAAGGTTTCGTACCAATTGTCGTTTTCGTGTGCTCGAAGAGCACTTTTGAGTTGGCGATGAAACCGTTCAACTAAACCATTTGAAGCTGGGTGGTAGGCGGTAGTGCGTATGCGTTCCGTACCAAGCAGCCGGGTAAGTGAGGAGAATAACGCGGACTCGAATTGTTGTCCTCGGTCGGTCGTGACAGTCGAGGGACAACCATATAGCGCTATCCATCGTTCTACGAAGCGGTGGGCAACTGTCTCCGCCATAATAGGCGTGATGGGTATAGCTTCGGGCCATCTTGTAAAACGGTCGATGCACGTGAATATGTAATCATACCCATGCGATGATGGTAGTGGTCCTACAATGTCTATATGAACGTGATCGAAGCGAGCATCAGGCGTAGCGAACATGCCGAGGGGAGCGGCTACGTGCCTGTGCACTTTTGATCGTTGACATCGTAAGCATTGCTTTACCCACATACGGACATCTTTATTCATGGACGGCCAGACGTATCGTGCAGCGATGAGACGTAATGTAGCTGCGATACCTGGATGAGACAATCCATGCAGGGCATCGAATACGAGACGGTGGTAAGAAGAGGGTACGATGGGTCGGGGAAGACCGGTAGAAGTATCGCATAGGATAGTATCTGAGCTCGTAGCTAGTGGTACTTCCTGGCACTGAAGGGACGTAGATTGTGGTGCTTTTGTACAACAGGGATCGTTTGCTTGGGCGGCTGCCATAGCAGGAAGATCGAGCACCGGTAAAGTAATTGCATTCGCTTGGATACGTGATAGGGCATCGGCAACATAGTTCGACTCGCCTTTGATGTGACGAAGGTCTGTCGTGAACTGGGAGATATAGTCCAAATGTCTGCACTCTCGTGGTGAGTAGCGGTCAGACTTGGTATGCAGGGCATACGTTAAGGGCTTGTGGTCGGTGAATAAGATGAATTGACGTCCTTCTACGGCGTGCCGGAAATGTTTGATGGCGCAGTAGGCTGCTAGCAGCTCGCGACCAAAAGCGCTATATCTCGTCTCCGTGGGAGTAAGGCGTCGTGAGAAAAACTCGAGGGGTTGCCAACTACCGGAGATGTTTTGTTGCATAACGGCTCCTATAGCAAAATCAGATGCATCAACCGCTATACTAAGCGTGGCTGATGGGTCGGGATGAGCGAGAAGTGTGACTTGCGCCAGAGCCGTTTTGATCTCTGTAAATGCAGTACGCGCGGTATCGTTCATTTCTAATTTGCGTGGGTTGCCGCGAAGTAAGTTGGTTAATGGTCGTAACCGTTCTGCCGCGTGTGGGATGAAACGACGGTAGAAGTTAACCAAACCGAGGAATGCCTTCAGTTCCTTGAGTGAGGACAGCACATTGTACTCCTTTATTGCTCGCACTTTGTCCTCGCAAGGTAGAATACCCTCTTGCTTAATGACGTGACCCAAAAATATTATTTCCGGTTTACCCAATTCACACTTGTCTGAGTTGACTACTATTCCATTATCCGAAAGGCGTTGGAATAATAGCGTAAGATGTTGATAATGTTCATCTACGTTTGATGATGCAATTAGCAGGTCATCAATATAGACGTGAACAAAATCTGTCTCGTACAATGCTATCGATAAACCTTTGAAAAGTTTGAGCAGCATTCCGTAATCCAAAAGGCATTCGTAGGAACTCAAACAGACCAAAAGGAGTCGTGATAGCAGTTTTTTCGATATCTTCAAGAGCGACTGGGATCTGGTGATATGCTCGTACCAGGTCGATCTTAGAAAAGATAGTCGTGCCCTTCAGCGATGCTGTGATGTCATGTATGTGGGGGATAGGGTAGCTATCAAAGCGCGTAACTACGTTTAGTGCTCGGTAGTCGCCGCACGGTCTCCAACTAGCCCCATCCTTTTTGCGCACCATATGAAGAGGAGAGGCCCAGGGACTGTGAGGACGAATAATACGAGAAGCTAGTAAATTTTCAAACTCACATCTAGCGAAGGCTAATTTGTCCGGTGCCAGTCGGCGTGGTCTTGCCGTGACTGGTGGTTCGCGGGTGACTATGTGGTGTACCACACGATCGGTCACCGATGAAACCTCCTCGAGTGGTTTAGTCAATGTGGGGAATTTGTCGAATAAAGCATGGAATTTATCGTCACGCGAATAAAAATTGCCAAGGATTCGTTACACGTTCGTGTGGGCTTTGCAGCCCATGAATTTATTCGATTAGCTGCGGCCTACGTGCATCGACTAGCAATCCATAGTGCTGTAGGAAATCAATATCTAGTATGGCTGTGGGAACATCGGCAATGATGAACGTCCACAGATACTGTTGTCGGTCGCCCAGGTTGGCCGCGAGTTGTCGTGTACCATAGGTAGGAATGACTGAGCCATTCGCAGCGCGTAGTCGAAGCATTGTAGCTTGTGTCTTGCTGCTACCACGTGGTACGACAGAGGCTTGGACCCCAGTGTCCAATAGGAACCTAGCGTTTGCGCGGTAATCGTGCACATAGAATAAACGGCCAACCTGGGGGAGAGGGCCGGCGAGTACGGCCGCCTTGTATGAGCACGGTGCTCGACAATGGCGGCCGCCAGACGCGAAGGAACCAACACCAACCTTCACTCGCTTCCGGAGCCACCTTTCGGCGTGGCTTGGAAGATGTCCTGGTTGGGCGAGTGGTGACGGCTTTGCGGGAACGTGAACACGCTCGGGTGACGTAGGGTTAGGGTATGTCACAACGGTCTCGAAAGCTAAGACGTGTGTGGATACACCCCTGTCACCGTGAGCCGAAGAATGACCGGCGTCCTTGTTTACATTAGGACGTGCCGCTGAGGAAACTACATAGGTATCTCTGTTATTAGTCCTCGCTAAAATTGAGGACGACCGCACGTACAGCTACTAAATGGTCTCCGGGTAGAAATTCTAGAGCAAGACGATACTTTTGCTTTTGGATCCTAATTCGGCGAGTCTCGAATTGAGATGGTAACAATGAAATATACTGGCGTAAAATGATAAGTCGAAATCTGACGATTATCACAACAAGTATGAAAGTTTACTGTAGTGTACCTAATACTTAGCACAGAATTCTGAACATTTCAATCTTTTTGAAAACGTTTCACTAGTATTTAAATAAAAGTTGTAATAAAAGAATTAATGAATATACAGATAATTTGCAGTAAAGTAATAAAGTCAACATTCCTAAACAAATCTATCCCAACTTTGAACTATCACTGCTTTCGGTATTTTTCTGTGAATGTCCTAGATTAACAAGATCTTCACTGAATGGTAGGAATTCAGCACGACACAATGGACACGGTATCTACAGGAATGGAAAAATATGTAGTTAGTATTTTGTTAATTAGATGACTGCGTTTTTTTTAGAAAACCTACTTCAGAATTAAACACGGATTTATAACTCCCAAATAATTGACCACTTATTATTTATATTGCAAGTATGCTTACTTCTTGTTACGATATTGAGTGAAGAAGAGATATATAGAGTATGAATTGATCTACTTAGTTTTTGTTAGTTATTCACTATCATTTAACTGAAGCAGGGAAATTAATAACGTTCATCCAGAATGTTTTCAAGACATTGGAATGATTTAACATACGATAAGAAATACATGACGAAAACGAGTCTTTTTTGCAAGTTTTTATGTGTTAATTCTATGTAGCTAACTGCAAAATTATGTGAACTAACAACCTAAACTATCAGTTCCGATATAGTAATAAATTAATAGTATACTTGTAATATTCCTAACTACTCATTCAATTTGAACTATTTTTCTAATTAATTATAATTAATCCCTTCAAATTTTACTTAGTTAATAAATAAATCAGCTATAATCTTTTAAATCAAAAATATTACACCTTTTACAATAATTTACATACGCAAGTATGTCACCTCGGTCTGGAGATAATATGATCGAACTTATTTTTTGTTGAATTAAACATTATGTGCAGATACATGTACTTGACTCTAAGCCACAACCTCAAGTGTAAGGCTTAGAGATACTAAAAAGTTGCTCAAAACAAACCAGCTGGGACATAGTTCGAATCTGTGACTTATGGGCTGAAAGTCACATGCCTTGATAGTCATATGTTAGTCAGTCAGCTACAAAGTAGTAGCAGGCAAATATATGCCATACCTCATTAGCACATCAAATTCATAGAAGTAGTTACTTCAATGGTATTAATATATGGAAGAAAGATTGCATATAAGGATATAATACAAGAAGAAAGAATTAACTTGTAGAAATAAAGGTATAAAGTAATTTTAATCTCACTGTTTAAGGGAAGACGAAGAGTGTATACACCTACGCCATTGTGATTGGTTCTGAGCCATGTCGTCTAGTCTCCAACCATTAAGTACGACAGTCGCATGGACCCTAACCAAGTAGTGTGCATCTACCAACATGGCTCAGACCAGAAAATAGTGACTTTATGGACTGATGCCACTTTTTGGTTTGACCTCTCCCAACTTTCTCCCATCCATCCCCAACACTAGTCAGCATTGTGCGCCGTGGTAATCGGTGTTCAGGCATACGCAACACGTGGCCCAACCATCTCAGTTGATGTAGACTCACGACCTCATCAACCGACTTACCATCATTCCCTAATACCCTGCATCTGAACCTCACGATTACTTACCCTGTGATCCCAGCAGATGAGAGCAATATTTCTAAGACATCTGTGATCAAATACTAGTAACTTAGTCAGTCAGTCATCAGTAATGTAGAACTTCGTACGTACGTACATCAGTTTGAGTTGCCATACCAGTCAGTCAGCTACAACGTAGGACCAGGCACATATATGCATCAGTCCAAGTTGCCATACCACATTCGCACAGAGATACAATTGTCGATTCAAATCTCATTGTGGTACAGGTAGTAAGAGTATAATTAGTAATCGGAAAGATTAGGGTTTAAAGATGTTATTCAAGGAGTATAAACCAGTGAAACAAATTTGGGAAGATAAAAAAAGGGACATGAAGAATTCAGAAGATCAGAATTTGGGAGAACACAAAGAATGGATGCACCTGCTCCATTGCAAACAATTAACCTAAGAGTATCCTCTACCCTTAATGGTCATGTTTCGCAGCCGTAAAGTAGAATAGAACGAACTGCCGCGCAGTATACTCGTCCCTTAATTGATAGACGGATATCTCACCTTCGCCATAGGTGACGTAGGTTAGCAAAAGCCACACGAGTCTGTTGAGTACGTGCAGAGATTTTGTCAGATACCAACCGATTAGGGATGACCAGACTTCCAAGATAAGTAAAGTTGTCGACGCGTCCGACTACTCTACTCCCTATCCTAAGTCCAGGTGTTGATGCAGACCAGTCTTGAAGCAACAAGTTGCATTTCGAGAAGGAAAAATGCATTTTAAACGTCCTAGCATTGTTGCTCAGTGTTACCAAAAGACTTCATTTTATCAGCGTCTTCACCAAATAGAACTATGTCATTTGTGTATTCTAGGTCGATAAGTGGACCTACTGGAAGGGGATCAATGCCCGAAAATTCAGTCGACGAGAACGTTATTTCCGTCAGTATGTCTGTGAAGTTGAACAAAAATGGAGATAGTGAACAGCCTTGACGGACACCAATTGAGGTTGCAAAGACAGATGACAGTTCGCCATAAGCTTTGACTCGACTGCAAGTGTTCGAAGTGCTATGTACCAAGTGGGATTTTTCTGCAGGACAGCATAACTTGTCTTAATATCAGAATCTTCAGTACGAATGTCAAAACAGTTCTACTGTATGGGACGCAATCTTGGAAAACTACGTAAGTCATCATCAAGAAGATACAAGCGTTTATTTACAGTTGCCTATGCAAAATACTTCGGATCCGTTGACTAGACACTATCAGCAACAACCTACTGTGGCAGAGGACAAACTATTTGACAAGTAGGAGCTTATTTATCCAATTCAGGTTAGTATTTTGGGCAATGTTCTATATTGTGTGGTTATCGATAGTAATAGACTGTCGTAATTTTGGTGAGGGTCCTAGACATTTTACTTTTGTCACATATTTGTTTGTAAGAAATCTGAAAACATACAAGATCAGTTAAGAAGAAATCAATTATAAGACATAACTAGCAGCCACTATCTCTACCTAACCCTGACAGGAACGTTGTGTTTATGAATGATACGTGTACACTCAATCTGGAGAAAACAGAGGCATCCCTCTGGAAATATTAAGTGAATTCATATGTTGAATTTTAACCTGATCATCTATATAACTACAGAAATTTCATCAGTTAATTAGCGACAGAAATATGATAAATTACTGATTCTATTAATTGTACTACAAGAGAAGAATCAAATATACAGATATCACTGTAGAATTTAGACTTATGAATGAGTAACAGATTATTGTTCACAAATCAAGATATGGTTTTTGTGCTCATTAATTTTTACTTGATTAATTATTACGCACCCGATGTGAATTATAAATATAAGTGTGATTACCGCTTTCTCTTTGAATTGAGTGTCTGTTCATTTGTGACTACCAGAGTGTGTAATTTACTCCTGGAATTACCAGTCATTATACTGAATCCAATTCGTCAAACGAGTATACTTTTAAATACTCGGTTACTCAGACTGAAGCTGGAGATTTCAAACAGCTGAATTAAAATACAATCTCTAAGACCCCAGCCAGGGAGACGTGAAGGACCAACACAAGCCAGCCCTTTGCAGATTTCTTTCATACCACTACACCATGTCATACACTGACCACCTCTCCGCTTCTTCCAACCAGTCCCAGAGTTAGCAAACAATGCACGACGTGGAATTCTCTGGGATGACATTTGTAGAACATGTCCAAGCCACCGAGGTCGGTGTTTCAAGATGATGACACCAATTGCATTATCGTCTGTGCCCGAACACACGATGCCGAACCTCTGCATTACTATCATGATGTTGTCAATGGATGTCAGCAATCCTTCGGAGACAACGACGATCGAACACAGAGAGTCGTCTAACATCCTGAACTCGGAGAGGCCAGGTTTCACAAGCATAGAGCAAAACTGCTCTCACCGACGCGTTGTAGATTCGACCTTTTCCAGCCAGACTAACATCACGAAGGCGCCAAGCACTTATGCAGCTACCTAGATACAAGAACTTCTCGACTACTTATATCTGTTCACTACCCAGGGTGAGTACAGGATCAGGGTCCCGCCATTCTGGTAGAAGTACTTTGCACTGATTGCCAACTGATTGAGTGCGGATGGCATGGCTTGGGCATTATCGCACAGTAAGACAATATCATCCGCATACTCGAGGTCGAGAAGTCTTTCTCCAAGCAACAGATCCACACTACCATTACCTACATCCATGAGAGCTGTTTCCAGAATGTCATCGATGGTAGAGTTGAAGAAGAATGGTGAGATTGGGCAACCCTGTCTAACCCCACTGCTCGAATGGAACAATGGGGAGAAGTGGTTGTATGCCCTCATTCTGCCTGAGGTGTTTGTATATAGGGCTTTTAGGAAGTTGCTTAACTTCCCACGCACACCCTTTTTCAATAGACAATCCCAGAGGACATTTGGCGGAGGGTGAAGATATGATCAATACATCGTCGACCAGAATGAAAACCAGCCTGCTTCTCGCGAGTCAATCTGTCTCGGGTTTCGAACAATCTACGAAGTATGACAGAAGCCAATGGTTTGAATGCAGTCTGAAGTAGACTTATCCCCCGATAGTTGTTACAGGAACGACGTGAACCCTTTTTAAGGATATGGATAATTATCGACTCATTCCATGGCGTTGGTACACTCTCTAGCTCCCAGACTTTTGTAAACAACACAGTCAGTTCCTTAACCAGGAAGTCACCACCATCTTTAGGAAGGGCCGAAGGTAAGTCATCTGAGCCCGGTGATTTGTAGCGCTTTAAGAGTTGGAGTGATCGGACGAGAACCGGTGCTTTCAACGTGATATGGTCGCCCCCGAATGCCCTGGTATGGCCGAGAGTGGGAAGAGTTCGCTCTCCCTCTCGAAATGCTCTCACACGGCCACGCGTATATAGCCTCTGCCAAGGAAGTCCTACTCACTGCCTTCTCGTGGCGGGGGTGTTGTTTACGAAAATGAGAGGACGAAAAGCGAATGTCCGGTGCTTCAACCGGATTCCAAACCAATGGTGCACATGGGCTCCAGTATCCTGCGGGGACATATGACGTATGAACCAATTGTTGATCACCGACTTCCATGGGATTGCATCTCCTTACGATGCTCCACTGCCTTGTGGATCAGACCTTCAGGTCGAAGGCTCGGGGAGTGGCCCCCTAAGAAAACCACCTGCTTCGGTTCGGGCACCCGGGCAGTATCACAGCCCCCACATATGTCGAATGAAATTTGCGTGGCGCGTATGTATTTGGTGCCTCGTTGTACCAACATCTCTGTTAAAATAAATAACAATAAATAATAAATAGGAGTTGTAGTTCCTCGCGGACTTTCGCCTCATTTGGTGGATCAGTCGTCACAGGCCATGGAGTGCAGGACAGTCTGATCGATGTTGGCGGGGCAACAGACCACTTGAACTGCCCCTCAGAAAACTCTGCCGATCGTCCAAGACATCGATAGATGTTAGTGATTGGTATCCCGTCATCTTCACAGATTGTCTCGTTCACACCAGACTTCTTGTTGCCAGTGCCTCGGATAAGTTGAAAGGACTTCCGGCAGTTACCAGATGCAGTTGCTGCTTCCAACTCATAGGCACGCTCCGACCACCAGGCTTCTCGATCCTTACACAAGCTTTGTCCAATTTCATTACGCAACATCCTTCGTTTGTGGTCAAACTCACGATCACCCAGGGTAGACCGATGAGTTGTAAGGAACCTAAAGAAACACTGCTTATAAGCGAGACGTTTCGCGAAGCCGCAAGAGACTTTACTCGCCGTTTCCATGGCGTCTTGCAACTGGAACCAATGCCCATCTATACTTTTCGGTGGGATGTTAGCTAGCCTTGAACCTAGCTCGGTTTGATATTTAGTTGCAACAGAAGCTGCAACCAATTTACTGACATCAATCCGTTTAGGGCGATGAATTTCTTGGCCACTGAAAAGTAAGGTAAGATTAACGCAAACAACGGCATGATCAGAGTCCAGATAGGTACTTTAAAAGGAGCGGCAGTCTTGTACACAACCACGCCAGCTGTAGCTGATCGTGATGTGATCAATCTGAGTCCAGGCTTGAGATTCAGAGGGAGGAGGTCAGGTAGCACATCGGCGATTACTGTGCCGGTAGTTAGTGCTAGACAGAAACAGGTTGTGGTCTGCGCACAGCTGCAGTAGACGGTCCTCGTTATCTGTCCTGCGACTAACAAGTCCACACCGGCCACCTAAACGACTCTTTTCTGTGTTTAAACGTCCGGTGTGAGCATCCAAGTCTCCAGCTAGTACTACAATATCTGTCGAACACAATTTCTATATAACAGTTAAATGATGGTAAAACTCATGCTTGATCGCATTCGGGCTGCAATCTGTCGAAGCGTATGCGACGATGAAAAGACATCGTTTCTCACGCCGATTTCCTCTTACTTTGGTGGAACTCTCTAATCTAACAGCACATAACTGACCTTTAATGGGGATCTAATCAGCTAGTGTTGTCTCAGCTCTAGATCTTAGTACGACACCAACAAAACTAAACGAAGATGCTACAAGGTCCCCGAATAAGCTCACATAAAACAAGTTTTTCGAAGCGACAGATGGAGAGCAAATTTGTAGCACTTAACTAGAGTCTTGAATACGGGTCTCGGATAGACAACAGACGTCGATATTAGGACTTTCTAAAGACATAGCCGACCATATATGTTATCCGATCTGCATTATTGTGTGAATGTTGAAAGAAGCCAGCTTGAATAGTATACGTGGTTTCAGAAAGGCTGTTTCAGTATTGGTATTCGGTGGTAGCATTCAACTCTCGACCAGTTAGTGACTCGAGATCGTTTAGATAATTACTCATAAACAAAACATCATTTCACAATAAAGAGTGTGTACTTACTTCAAGTGGTGGAAATTCAGTGTATGGGCCCTTGGCTTTTAATTCGCTTATTTCCTCTTCATATTCTACTCGTCTACGATTCATATACTCACCAATACAGTATGTATGAAAATAATGAAAATTTGTTGTACAATAGACATCACTTTCATTTTGGAAGCAATTCAAGCATATTGCACACTCAACAGTTGGGATGTTGGATGAAGTAAATTCACGACAAAACTAGATGTAGAAGAATTAGGAGCATATTTTATGCAACATAATAAAATGAAACAATAAATTGTTTACGGTACACGGATACAGTTACTATAAAAAACTTTGAATTATCTAAATGATCTTTCAACAGTTACTATATGGTGCTGTTTCCACGTCTAATATGGTGGTAACTAAGTTTTAAATAAGGCCACTAAGCGAAAGGATGTAATCTGTTACCTTTTGTATTGATTTCAGCTTTTTGAGTAAAAGTAGTATGAAGCACCTGACTTACGTTTTGGCGAGCTTGTTATCCATCAGTTGTATATATTTAAGATCGTTTAGAGGACTCAGCGGTCTGGAGTTGTGCAAGTGAATATGTTAGCTTTACACAATAGCATATGGCACATAAATCTATTTTATAATTTTGACAATCAACTTTATTTAAGCTAAACTTAATGGATGTATCATAACATACTATTCCTAATCAATAATAAACTTACGTACATCCACAAGATCAAAAATAACTGGATCGCCGTTTCGTTCCAAAGTTAAATCTCTTAGAAGGGATAATAATTTTGCAATATCCTTTTCTTTCAGACCATGAACACATTCTACAGAGACTGTAGGTGACTCTATCGGATACTGTAAATAATAATATTCAATTAACGAATCAAAATATAGAAAAACTGGAGTTATAAACAAACCTTCAAAGTAACATTCAAGTTCAGGTTAAATTTTATAAACTTGTTTACGGGATTATTAAATCCTACTCCAGGAGTTACTACAAAAGAGACTGTATATTGATTTGAACTAAATAAGACTATCAAAGTATAGCTAGACAAAATAACCTACTCAAAGTCAACTTTGAATTCACCGGGAAACATTTCATATAATAATTGCAATTCATCTTGAATTCTTAAACAAAAGTTTTAATCAACACAGGAAACAAACAAACTTACATGTTGTCCATTCATCGGTAAAACCTGTCTACCCGAAATTGTTTGATGAAGGGAAATGTCTATCAGGGGAATAAAATTACGTGCAAAATATCCGAAAGTTATTAAAATGTTAGGATTACGGGTTAACTGTCTAAACTCAATAAATACAGATCCTAATACTCTGCGTGGCTTAAACAAACGACCGTAAAACGGAAAATAAAGGGAACAGTTCGAAAGAAAATAAAGGGAAAAACGCACTGAAAAGTCGATACTATCGCCCATCATGGGGAAATAGTGCTAAATTTACTCGTTTTATCGCCTTGTAGTCTACTTTCCACTTAGCTCCAATTGCCTTCTATGCTTACCTTTATTTCGATTACGAAACAAACGTTTGGACACCAGTCAACTTGGTTAAAAAACGGTACGTGGCCAAAGACATTGATAGGAAATAGTTTACAAGGAGATTAATGACGGACAGACGCTCGTCACTCACAAGTACAAAGTTCCACTGTCGTTTGAGGTCTACAAAAGGAATAACAGGTAATTCGTAATCTATTAAGAATGTGTCCTAAATGTTAAGTCCATGTAAAGTCAAACATGTTCTCACCACATACATTTAATTATTCTCGACGTAGCACATGTAAGTGAGAAAGTAAATTCATGTCAAGAGAAAGCTTTATTACAAAACTAGGTTTAACAGGACAATAAATTTGGAGAGTTCATACCCCATAGTGGCATGCATTAGCCACACCAATGAAAAGCGTTTAGATAACAGCGGTACGTTAACGAAGTGAAATCAACAATTCATTTTAGAGTGTAATAACGTTGACATGTGTCCCAAGATTTCGTTAACCTGAAACGAAAAAATCAATATATATTCCTGATGAAATTGAAGATAAATAGCAGTCAAACCATCAGAGATGCTAGTTTCAATATTGATGGGTTTCGAGATTTTGTACCAGATTTACTAAAAAGCACTTAAAGTGTCCTGAGAGCATGCAACATCTTTCAGCAGTGGGGTTTACTACCATTTAGGATTGGAAACCAATCTGTTAAGATATGTCAAACTTTGGTTGGAATTACGCATTCATGCAGACGGACTATCCCTTTTAGACAGCTCAAATCAAAGTTCAGAACATACAAACAGATTATTCTGATTAGGAAAAGTAACACTAAGATTCAAAAAAGGATTTATTCTCAGAATACATTTTTCTGTCCAGCCTAATTTTATAATAAAACTTTCTCTTGACATGAATTTACTTTCTCACTTACATGTGCTACGTCGAGAATAATTAAATGTATGTGGTGAGAACATGTTTGACTTTACATGGACTTAACATTTAGGACACATTCTTAATAGATTACGAATTACCTGTTATTCCTTTTGTAGACCTCAAACGACAGTGGAACTTTGTACTTGTGAGTGACGAGCGTCTGTCCGTCATTAATCTCCTTGTAAACTATTTCCTATCAATGTCTTTGGCCACGTACCGTTTTTTAACCAAGTTGACTGGTGTCCAAACGTTTGTTTCGTAATCGAAATAAAGGCGATATTCCAAACACAATGCGACAAAACGAGTAAATTTCGTACTATTGATACACTAGATATGATTCAAGGAAAGAGGAACAAGAAGGAAGCAATCAATACCAGCCGAACAGGAGCAGAGAAAACCATGGCACAAGCTGAATTTACAGAAGTAAACAAGCAAATGAAGAGGAGCATGAGTACCGACAAACGTAAATATGTGAAAGATCTGGCAATGATGGCGGAAAAGACTCCAAAAGAAGGAAACATGAGAAAATTGTATGATACAACAAAGAAACTCGCTGGAAATTATCGTAAACCAGGACCAGTGAAAAGCAAGGAAGGCAAAGTAATCACCAACGTTGAAGAACAGCGAAACAGACTGGCAGAACACTTTAAAGAGCTCTTTAATAAACCAGCCCCATTGAACCCACCCAACATCGAAGCAGCACCCACGGACCTACCGATCGATGTTGGCCCACAAACAATTGAAGAGATCAGCATGGCAATCAGACAAATCAAGAGCGGCAAAGCAGTAGGACTAGACAACATTCCAGTGGAGGCACCGAAAGCAGACGTAGAGGTAACTGCAAGGATACTCCACATTCTCTTCAATATGATTTGGGATGAGGAACAAGTACCAACAGACTGGAAAGGACTTCTGGTCATAATACCAAAGAAAGGCGGTCTTAGCAAGTATGACAACTACACAGGCATCACTCTTCTCTCAATACCAGAAAAAGTCTTCAACAAGGTATTGTTAAACAGAATGCAGGATTCCGTAGACGCCTAAATTCGAGACCAACAGGCTGCATTCCATAAGGATAGATCTTGTACGGACCGAATCGTAACACTAAGGATCATTGTGGAGCAATCAAATGGATGGAATTCATCACTCTACATCAACTTCATTGACTATGAGAAAGCATTTGATAGCGTGAACAGGACAACACTATGGAGGCTTTTTTACACTACGGCGTGCCTGAGAATATAGTCAATATTATACGGAATTTCCATGAGGGATTAAACTGCAAAATCGTGCTGACGGACTCGTTCGAAGTAAAGATCAGTGTCAGGCAAGATTGCTTACTTTCACCCTTTATCTTTCTACTGGTGATTGACTGGATCATGAAGACGTCAACATCTGGGGAGAAGCATGGGACACAACGGACATCTAGGGTGCAGCTGGACGATCTAGACTTCGCAGATGGTCTGGCCCTCTTATCGAGGTGGATTTGATACAGACGTGAGGGCGCGGATCGGAAAGCAAGAACAGCATATTTACAACTGAAGAACATCTGGAACTCAGTCAGTAACAAAGTAGAACTTCGTACGTACGTACATCAGTTCGAGTTGCCACATCACATTAGCACAGAAATGCAGTTGTCGATCCAAATCCCGTAGTGGTAGAGGTGGTAGGAGTATAAGCAGTAATCGGAAAGATTAGGGTTTAAAGATGTTATTCAAGGAGTATAAACCAGTGAAACAAATTTGGGAAGATAAAAAAAGGGACATGAAGAATTCAGATAATTAGAATTTGAGAGAACACAAAGAGTGGATGCACCTGCGCCATCGCAAACAATTAACCTAAGAGTATCCTCTACCCTTAATGGTCGTGTTTCGCAGCCGTAAAGTAGAATAGAACGATTTCGAGTCATGTCATTCAAGGTCTCTAACCATCGGTTGTTATCATCTCGCGGTCCCCAACCAGATAGTCTACACCTACCAATATGGCTCAGTCCACTTGTCAGTGACTTCATGGACTTGTGCCATGTTGACTGGAACTCAAAACAATTGTCAACCAACACCGAGGTCAGAATTTTTAATACAAATGTCAAGACAGTTATACTGTATGGGGCGAGAACTTAGAGAACTACGAAAACCATCATCAAGAAGATACAAGTGTATATTAACAGCTGTTTACGCAAAGTACTTCGGATCCGTTGGCCAGACACTATCGGCGACAACCTACCGTTGAGGAGAATAAACCAGATCCCAGCGGAAGAAACCCGGAAGAAGCGTGGGAAGGAGATAGGACACACATTTGAGAAAAGAACCTAACTGCATCACAAGGCAAGCCCTCACTTAGAATCCTAAAGGTCAAGGGAGAAGAAGAAGACCAATGAACACATTACGTCGAGAAATGGAGGTAGACATGAAAAGGATGAGCAAAAATTGGACAGAAGTCAAAAAGAAGGCCCAGAATAGATTGAGCTGGAAAATGCAGGTCGGCGGCCTATGTTCTATTGGGAGTGACAGGCGTAAGTATTTCCCCATGGTGGATGAAAAAGTAGACTTTTCGGTGCGTTTTACCTTTTATTTACTCTGACCGCATTTCCTTAAGGAAATGCAGGTTTTACGGCTGCATACGAAGTAACTCATATTTAGTATTTAAACTTCGGGTGCGTCAACAAATCGCTTTTTATCATCCTCTGTCAACGAAAAAGACCTTGTGAAGCTGTACGACATAGCCACACAAGTTTGTTTTCACGATGTCAGAGACAAAGTGATAAAGCGTAAAAGAAGGAAAGAAGGGCAGGTATGTACTAGTTTAAAGTGATAAAATTCCTTACGGCTCTATAGTTACAGTCATCAGTGTTAACGGACTTAACCGTAAGTTTAACTTAAAGTATTTGGCTGTGCCAAGACATGTCATTCTGATATTGTTGTGACTTTTTCTGTTTTTTAAACTTATTAGTTCACAGGACGACTATTTCAATTATTAATAGGCGAACGAATGTGGCTGAAAGGAATAATCCATGCAATTTTTTGATGTTCTATGTGCATTTCAATAAAAATTATTTTGTCAAAGAGCTTACTTTATTACTTACTTGGGAAACTATGGAAGTGTTGAGAATGTGTGTTTGAGTGTCAGTTAACTTTAGATTAGATGCAAATGCCTTATGAATAATACATCACCTGTTTCATCTTTCGTGAATCTTTTCAAATAACAATGAATCGGCAAGTACAATGGATATACAAAATGATTGATGCTCAAGCTTCTGCTCTAATGTTGTACAATAATAAGATTTTCCTCTTAAATAAAATTTTTTTTAAAATACACCGGTTTTCCAGTGCGCATTGCAGTTTTATTTCGGTCTGTTGTTGAAAATAAAGACGAACATAGGAAACCTTAGGGGTTATGTCAATAGATGTCTCCTCATTTGCGGATAAATCTTTCGCCTTTTACTAAAGATTTCCATGTGGGAGGCACAATACAATGAGTCTTAACTCATTTTTTCCAACTCCGTCCTTGCACGGAGTATAAATTTTTTAGAGACTGGAAAGACGCCATAATAAGTCCGGTGTATAAGGCTGGGAGTAGGGATTTAGTTAGTAACTATAGACCCGTTAGCTTAACTAGTGCAGTTGTGAAACTGATGGAGAAAATCATTCGGATAGCTGTTGTAAACTATGTTGGAGGGCAAAATCTTTTCTCCAGGGCACAACATGGTTTTCGGAAAGGCCTGTCTTGCTTGACAAATCTTCTCATTGCACGAGAAGAGT